CTGGTGGTCAGTGCGCTCCCACAGGGGGAGCTCTGCTCAGCCACAAGCCAGGCTGACGGCTGCCAGTACAGCGGTGGTGGTAGGAGCCTCTCCCGCCTCCTCAGCAGCGCTAAGGATGTCTGACTGCAGCTTAGGCCTGCTCCCCGCTGGCAAGTGGACATCCCGCGAGGGCTGCCAGACTGCCAGGCTGCCAGAGGGATGTCTGATTGCCATCTTAGGACCAATCCCTCAGGGAGCGGGCCTAAGCCAGCAGGTGGTCATCTCCCATGGGGTCCCAGGTTGCGAGAGGGCCCAGGCCGGGCTGAGGGACCCCCCCTCCCCCGCCAAGTGCACAAATTTTTGTGCACCGGGCCTCTAGTCAATATTATAATAGCTATGCATGGTGTCAGACAGGTACTAGACTCATCGGGGTGACCATTTTGTAAGTTATATAAATGTCTAATTGCTATGTTGTACACCTGAAACTACTATAATATTGTATGTCAACTGTAATTGAAAAATAAAAAAAGTTATAAAAAAGTATCAGCTCTACCCCTGACTTACTGAATTAGAATTTTTGGGGGAATGGGACCACATGTGTGTGTGTGTGTGTGTGTGTGTGTGTGAGAGAGAGAGAGAGAGAGAGAGACACTCTGATGTATGCCATTTGTTAGATATCACTAAGTGAATTAATGTATGTGTTTTCCATCCCAAGAATTTGTCAAATTGTCTGAACCTATTGTTTTTAATATTAATAAACTTAATATGCATGTGCATAGATTTTTCTTCTGCATATTTTTCATAATGCTTTCAGTTCCTGGGAAGTTTTTTTTCTGTTACTTGGTGTCAACTGGTATTATAAACTTATTAATTAGTGTTACTCTGCAAAATCAATTTTGAGCAAATGACATGCAGTGCAGAAGTTAAAAGGCACTTCCATAACTTTCTTTCTTATTGCCCCATAGGGACAGAAGCCAGGACGGATAATCAAGTATGGTACCTGAGAACTGCAAAGCTGGCTCTGGCCTTGGCGATTATCCGCTCAAAGCCAGCAGACAGAAGCAGCAGAGAACACACAGAGCACCTTGCGAGGGTCGTGTCGGGGCAGGAGTCGGAGTGGAGATCTAGAGTTGAAACCCTGGAAGCTGAAGTTTTGCAGTTGCGTCAAAAACTTCTTCTGAGCAGGATGTGTTCCGGATTGTTTAAGAGTGGTGAGTGTGAAATTACCTTTTGTTAATACCTCCATCTGTTTTATTTCAGTTTCACAGTTATTTAGAAATCGTTTCGTTTCCTAAAACTAGACTTCTTCGAGGCCTATAAAGATTTTTTACTTCTAGCCATTTATTAAAACTTTATTGTTACTTCCTAATGAACGGGCTACATTAAGCAGTGGGATGAATTTAGAGAATGAAAATAGATGTGAAGGCAACAATGTTTTAAGGCTTACAGATAAATTAATTTTAAAATCACATTGTTCAACCTTATTGGTATATGTATTTTATGTTGCTTTGATATTAAATATTATTTGTGTATTTTATGTCGCTTTCATATTAAATAATTCATCTAGCAATCATATATCAAGTACCAGCTGTGGACCAGGCATGCAGTGGGTGATGAGGACCCAAAACCTACAAGAGGAGGTGCTGTCCTTGCCACTAGGTTCCTACTGTTCTAGCAGGGAAAATAGTTGTGATAAATGGCATAATAGAGGTGCTAACCAAGTGCAGAGGGGAAGCTATTCATTCTTCCTGGTTTCTAGAAGGTCTCCCAGGTCTGGCTACTAGTCATGAGATGGTCCTGAGGCAGTCACAGGAACAAAGGCAGAGCAGTGGAAGACACCCGTCCCATTCAGGATACTGCCAGCCACACTTCACAGTGACCAGAACACCGTAAGGTAGTGATGTGACGGGGGAGAAGTGAGCTTGTAGGATAAAAGGTTGTGTTCAGATTTGTCTGAGTATAATCTGACCCTGAATATACAGGGATTACCTAGAAGGAAGGTGGAAGTATGTTTCTAAAATTCAAAGGGGATGAGAGGGAAGAGAGGTGAGTTGGGACCAGGATCAGAAGAGCCTTGAATATCAGCCTAGAGACTATTTTACTGTATATCCTATCAGTAAGTTTACCATACAATTTATGGTCTGGGTAGGACGCTTATGAGAGAGAAAGGAAGGGACTATTACTAATTATACTAGGGCAACAGGCAAAAACCAGGACTCACTTGAACAAACTAGAACATGTGGTCACCCCCTTCATCAGGAGCCATGGAACTCTTTTGATGCAGGGGATTGACCCTAATATCAGGATTGGGAAACATAATTCTGGTGATTTAAAAACAAAACAAAAAAGGTAAATTAGATCATGTTACTCCTTTGTGGAAAACCCTTCTCTGTATCCAGTCCACTTCACGTTATATACAGACTTGTGGTCAGTGCTGGGATGCTGTGGGTGACTTCACCTCTATTCACCTCTCCCACCTTCTCTCATACACACCCCCTTGTCAACTCTGTCCCAGCCACCATGAGCCTCCTTCCAGTCCTCGAGGCTCTTCTTGCCTTGGCCTTTGTTATGCTCTTCTCTTGGACTCTCTTTGTGGCTGGCCTCTTCCCTTCCTAGAGGTCTGATTCTAAATGACACCTCCTAAGTGTGTACTCTATATACACAGTAACCCCCCGCAATTATTCTTTAAGCAAACACCCCCTATGGGCTATTTATTTGTTTACTTAGTTGCTGCCATAGTCTGTTTATTTATTTAGGCTCTCCTGATCGAGAGCCTAAATTCACTGAGAAGTATAGGTCTTCTTTTTTGAAAAATATATTTTTATTGATTTCAGAGAGGAAGGGGGATGGAGAGAGATAGAAACATCAATGATGAGAGAGAATCATTGATCGGCTGCCTCCTGCACGCCCCACACTGGGACTGAACCTGCAACCTGGGCATGTGCCCTGACTGGGAATCGAACTTGACTGGTTCATAGGTTGACGCTCAACTACTGAGCCACATCAGTCGGGCATGTGTAGGTCTGTAATTTGATAAGCATTCTCTACTAAATGCCCACCTCAAAGCCTGACACACAGAAGTTGCTCAATAAATATTTGTCAGACGGAAGTGGAGCATAGAGGATGTTTCGACTGTAGCAGCGATTGGAGGCAAGGAGACAAGCAGTGATTGGAGGGAGGCAAGTTTTAAAGGCATTTACCAAAATCACCATAAAGAATGATGAGTTGTACTAGATCTATGATAGTGAGAATGAGAGGAAGTCAGACAAATTTGAATGATTTCAGAGTAGACACTTCAGACATTTGTGAATGATTTCAGAGAGTGGTTAAGGGAGATGGAGGCATTTAGGGTAATTGAGGTTTTCAATCCTGATATTGAATTGATTGTGACACTTTGAATCCAGTTAGTGAACACAGAAATAAGTTTGTAGAATTAAAAGGTTGAGTGCAGATTTGTCTGAGTGTAACCTGACCATGATTATATGGGAATTATCTAGAAGGAAGGTGCAAGTATGGCCCTAAAATTCAAAGGACATCGTGGGCTGTAAAATGGGGACACAAACTTAAGATTCATTTACATTAAGCAATAGTTAAAGGTATAGCCGTAGATGAGACTCATGGAGAGAATAGAGCTGGGGGTACTGTGGGTTCCAACATTCCAGGGGTTGGCAAAGGAAAAGAACCCATGGAAAGAATGTGACTGTCACATTAGGAGTACGCAAGTGTAGTGCACACATGATTACTATGGGTGATAGTACTCACTAACTTCAGTTTGGGGGATTGTCAGGAAAGCTCACTATCCTAATAGACCCATGGAAAGAATGTGACTGTCACATTAGGAGTATGCAAGTGTAGTGCACACGTGATTGCTACGGGTGATAGGTACTCACTAACTTTAGTTTGGGGGATTGTCAGGAAAGCTCACTATCCTAATATCCAGGTGTTACTAAATAGTGTTATATGATTTATAGCTACATTTTAGTCTCTCTGGAGTCTTTCTAGGTAATGGTACCCAGTGAATGGCAAACATAATCTCTTTTAATTTTCTCTGTAAAGTTATGATTGACCCAATGCATACATATAAAAATTTCCAGTAATCTTAAAGTGTGACTATCGTAAACATCCATGATATCAAAACTGCTGTTTACTGTGGTCTATTTATAACCCTGATATAGTGATATGATGTATTTTTTGTTTGGAATAAGAGTGTCCCTAACAGTGAGAGCCTAGGCAATAACTTGTTCTTACACTAAAAACTTTCACAGCGCCTGTGAGAGAAATTTTCAAATACCATGTAATTAAAATTAGTTTTACTCATAGCAGGAGTTGCAGGTAAAGCGTTTCATCGCAGATGTTTGGACATAATCTATCTCTCAATCTGTTAACTTAAACTTGAAAAATAAGGAATAAATGGATTGATTCAGATAAATAGAGTCACTCTTAAAGGGAAAGAAAAAAACCTTAAGGGGGTAAAGTAGATTGATAGGAAAATAAAGGAGGAACACAGATGCTATTTCAAGATGTATAATTTGAAAGGCTGACATACCTTGCTCTAAGAAAACTTCATAGCTAAAAATCAAAATGATGTTATAGATGTATTTATATTATTAAATATTTATTTCTGGAACTTTCAGGGTTGCTTTACATATGCAACTCTTCTGGAGTGTTTAGACATCAGGCCCTCGATAAATGTTGAATGAAATACTTCTTGACAGAAAGAGGGGCTGAGGAACTGAATTTACAGTATCAACTACCCATCGAAGCAACTGAGATACCCAGATTGAAATAAAGCAGAGCTGAAATGTCGAAGTAAACAAATAAGGAAGTATGATATACTTTTTAAAACATTTTAGGAACTCAGCTATTTAATTTCTTTTTCTACAGCTTTTTAAAGAGAAAATATATTTTTAAATATTATTTATTAAAGGACTAAACTATACATAGAAGGGATAAATAGAACTTGCTGAGAATTATGCCACATTTTTATTTTACTTAAATGCCCCTTTGCAGTGGGAAGAAAGAAGGAAGGAGAAAGGGAGGGAGAGAGAAAGGGAGGAAGGATCAAAGAAGCCCAGATATCCAGTGACATTCCTCAGAACCCTTGTGGTGGTACATGGCAGACATAATAAGTTGTCTACTCTATATCTAGCTTTTTTCTTCCTTACTAAAGAACTCCCAATTTTCTTTTGGCAGAAGTGTGCTCATGTCCAGTGAGTTAACCCATGAACACCTTTGACTTGTTTTGCCAATATTGTTCTAAGGTTGGGCAGCAGCCATTGAAAGGTAAAAAGCAGTCTTATGAGCTTTTTTTCTTAATTTTAATTATTTTATTTTATTGATTTTAGAGAGAGGAAGGGAGAGGGAGAAAGAGAAAGAGAGAGGCAGAGAAACAGAAACATTGATCAACTGCCTTGTGCACGCCCCCTACCTGGGATCAAGCTCACAACTTGGGCATGAGCTCTAACTGGGAATCGAACCAGCAACCTTGTGGGTGCACGGGGTAATGCCCAACTAACTGAGCCCAAACAGCCAGGGCAGTTTTATGAGCTTTTGATAAATATTTGTTTCTTTGGTTAAAAAGACTGAGGTTACTGAAAGAGAGCGATTAATATATTTTTTTTAACCTCAATCATTCTTTTTCCTGTATGAGGCACTGCCACATGAAGACATGATGCCTGGGACTGTAGTAGCCATTTTGAAACTGGAGGCAATATTGAAAACTAGAGGCCTGGTGCACAAAATTGTGCACGGGGTGGGGGGTCCCTTAGCCTGGCCTACACCCTCTTGCAATTTGAGACCACTATCTCCTAACTGCTCGCCTGCCTGCCTGATCACCCCTAACTGCTCGCCTGCCTGCCTGATCGCCCCTAACTGCTGGCCTGATTGCCCCTAACCACTCTTTCTGCCTGCCTAATCATCCCTAACTGCCTCTGCCTCGGCCCCCACCACCGAGGCTTCGTCTGGAATGACATCTGGAAGGTCGTTCGGCTGTCCAGTCTAATTAGCATATTGCGCTTTTATCATTATAGATTAATGCCAACATGCTAAGGATGGTGAAGTAGTAGAATAAGAAGAACCTGGGTCCTTCTCGACATTGCTGAGAGGTCAAAGCAACTCTAGGCTTACTTTATAAGGAATTTTTAGAAAGGTCAACGATGGTTTAGGCCAGTGGTCGGCAAACTCATTAGTCAACAGAGGCAAATATCAACAG